GGCATGTGTTTTGTCATTATGGCACAGAGGCGAAAACTTGTTTTTCAAACCTGGATGTTAACTGGAGAAAATACCAGGTTTAAATTATCAAGAGAATGAATAATCACATACATGAAATTCAGGCTTTTCTTCTGGCCACCAGTAGTCAAGTAACCAGTTGATCTGGAATTTGTATTACTACATGTCCAGGCTATCAAGAAAAGAATGTGACTCGGGAAGAGAGGATAACCTTTCAAAGGTACAAAAAGATTAAAAAACTGTCAAGTTTTCTAGTATGTTTTTTGGTGTTGGAAAGTGATGATGTTGCTGAGGCTTTGACTTTGTCTCTAGGGAAGTTCTACCACTTACACCAGCATTATACATCAGATTAACCTGCAGGTGAGTTGTCCAGCAGCAGTGTCCTGATTTCACTTGTGTTTCTGTGGAAGGAGCCGAGGCATACGGTTACGCACAACTCGGTTACAGTGGCTTAAGCAATTAGCAGCCTTCAGCCGGAGCTGTCACAGCAGTGCCCAGCTGCGAGGTCTGCGCTGCGGAAGCAGACAGATGCACTCCGCTCTGGCGGCGTCTTCTAAATTGCCGACCGAACAGACAGGCGAGCGGTGCCTCCGAGAGCAGAGCCCAGCCGCTCAACCTGACCTTAAAATACCGGCCTTTGCCTGCAAGTCGCTGGGGGATCGCAGTATCCCAGTACGAGGGCAGGTCATTCGCTGTTGGCAGAGGCTCAAGGCGGTTGCCACCGCAGCTCTCCGAGCCCACCCGCCGCTCGCCCCTGTCCTTGGCACATCTGTGCGCTCCGAGGGCAGCCGAGCAGAGGCCGCGGCGGCCCCGAGGGGAGGACGAGGAGCTCGGCAGGAGCCCGGGCCGCGGGCGGGCCCTTCCCGGGAGGCAGAAGCCCATCCATTAGGACCGCTCCCGCAGCCAGGCCGGCGGCACCGGGGAGCGTCCGAGCCCCGTCCCTTCTCCCGGCCTAGCGTGCTCCCTCCCGGCCACAGTGACGGCAAAGCCGCAGTGTGGACCTGCGCTCCCGCCTCCTTCGCCTCTCCTTGCCTCCCCGGGGCGGCGGCGGGGCAGGTCTGCGCCGCCTGCGCAGGAGGGCCAGCGGCGGGACTTCTCCGAGCCGAGGTGCCGGCTCCGCTCCCGGGCACCTCGCCGCGCGTCCCCCTGACTCCCCATCCTCCTTCTCCTGCCGCCGGGTTGCGGGGCTGGCGGCGGCTCCTCCTTTTTCCTCCACGTCACGGGGTGCGGTATCGCACACATGTCCCTGCACACACACCGCACACATCGTACACCCACACTGTGCACACACACCGTACGCCCACACTGTGCACACACATCGTGCACCCACACTGTACACGCACATAGTACGCACACGCGTCTCCGATCAGACGAGCGCGCCCGAGACGGCAGCTCCGCGCAGCCCCCTCACCGCTCCGTTCCGTTCCCTTCCGTTCCGTTCCGCCCCGCTCCGGTGGGTGCAGTGCCGGCGGGGATATCCCGGGACAGCGGCAGTGGGAGCGCGGCCGCGCCGCAGAGCACGGCTGCAACTTTCCACTCGTAGCGGCGCGCTGGGGCCGCAGCGGCTCCCGCCTCCTCCCGGCGGCTCTGCCATAGGCGCAAACTTGGAGGCTCGGCCGCCGCAGCAGAGTTTGGAGGGGCGGAGATGAGAAGGAGGAGGAGGAAGGGGCGGTGGGTGTGCGGGGCGGTGCTGCGCGGGGCCGGGCCGGGCGCGGAGCTAGCAGCGGCCGGAGGAGAAGGAAGGTGGGTAAGAACTGGTGAGAAGGCGCCGTGCGCTTTTGAAAGTTAATGACGGGGGGATTTTACGTGTCGGGAGCAGAAACTGGCGGCCGTAGGTCGGGTAGGAGGCTGCCGGCGTTGGAAGTGAGGGCGCGCAGCCTGCCCGCAGCCCGCCTCGCAGAAGGTGTGCCCGCTGCTTGCAACCGCAAGAGCTTTTCCTGGGGAGCAACAGTTATACCAGCTTACCGTGTGGTTTGGTAACAGGAACCCGGGTGGTTGTGGTGCTAGCTAACTCTGCCGTATTTTGGTTGGTGTTTTTTGTCTCTGAGTAAATTGCTAAAACGGTACCCGTTAGTCTGGAGTAGTGTTTTAATGTGCCAAGTGTACTTACTGATTTCTTCAGTATGGAAAGAAAGAGTGTTTTTTTCCTTGTGAGGAAACGAAAAGTCACAGAACAGCAAAGATCTGTCAGAAATTTGTTATTTTTTTCCTCGAGGAGAGGCAGTGGCAACTTCTCTCTCATTACAGAGTGAACAGGCTCATAGTGTAAGAGTGAGGCTTACGGAAGGAGATCTTAAGGTGAGCTTCCCTTGAGGTTAGCTTACTCACTGTGTCCCACTTGAGGATCTGCTCCACTAACACCCTCTGAGTTATTCCAAAGATACAGTCCACAAACCAGCTTGTTTCATTTTGAGTTAGGCAAATTTCCCTAATAGCAACCTTTCAAAATAAATAAATTTCCTTACTGGTAATATTTTTGCATTTGATAGCCTGAGAGAGAAAGCTGAAGGGTAGATATGGTAGATAGACTTGTGATTGGAACGGACATGGTGAACAGAAACAGCTTCTTGCACTCTTTCAGACAAGAACTACAACAGTCAAGTGACACTGGAAGGCAAAAACAATGAAACAAGTGAAAGTGAGGTTTTGTGCACCATACTCGGGTGAGCTGTAGGGCGTTTTGGCCTGCCCCTACTCTATTGCATGCCATAAAACTCATGTGGGTTCAAAAGCAACCAGGTGGAAGAAATCGAAATTTCAAGAGAAGTAGAAAATTGTAACCCCCTGCTTTGGACGCTGCTAAGCTGTGAGAGGACAGAAACAGAAAGAACGTGTGGAGAAGATGATGGAGGATACTTGTTATGTTTTTCCTCCTTTTTCCAACCACCTGCTTTCAGGTACTTGGAGACAACATCCTGGACTGCATGGGGCCCATGGATTTGATGTGCCTGTTCTTCCATGCAGATAGCTTTTCTGAGATGGTTGTAGAAAGGGAACTGAAATCGTGCTGCATTTGTCCTATATATCTGATACTGATGGGTTTTGTTCCAGTTCCTGTGTATCCTCTATGCTACCCAGATGTAAAAGCATTTGAAGATCACTAAGAGCCCTGGCTAATGCTTTTTGACATGAGTCTTATAAATGAGCGATTCTTAAGGTCTACAACTTTTTGGAAAGCAGCAATGGTGTGATAGGGTATACATTCAGGTTTGAATTGCTTGTATTGACACAACCCTTGTGCTGGGATTACACTGGGAATGCAGGAAAGAGGACTAGGCACTAAAACCCGTTTGTGTACTGGGCTGTATACGTTTTGTCGATGACAGCCTATACTGAGCATGCTATTTTCTGGCCTAATATGCAAATTATTCTAGTCAGTCAATAGGCTGTCTGTGATTACCATAAAATGCCCTGGTGGCTGAGAGCAGATCTCTGGAATTCTTCAGAAGCAGTTCAGGTAAGCCGGGAAGAATTAACCAGAGTTAAAATTAAAAAGCACAGAGTCAAAGCTTTGTGCCGTGGTTAGGTAACAGAAAACAGTGAGTGCTAATGCACAGGATTCAGGGAATCCCAGAACATGTTGAAACGTTGGTTGAGAGCAAACAGGTAAATTTAGAGATTCTTTCTCAGGTGGATCTTTTCAGCCTTGCAGCTCTTAGCCTGGCCAGATATGGATGGGGGCCTCAGCAGGCATCCACAATGTACAGTATGATTTCAAGAGGCTTTGTGTCCACCAATGGGGCAGGGCAGAGCAGAGCATTTTCAGAGATCAGCATAAAGATTTCAGGAGAGGGTGATGTGGGGATTTTGTAAGCACATTAGCCTTTGATCAAAGCAGGGAGTGGAGCACCAGAGGGGTGCTGATGCATCTGCTTGGCCATTAGTCTTGGTGGTTTCTGTGTACCTACGTGACAAAGTGACTTCATGTAGGAAGTGGGTAGGCAGCATGAGCTGTCCCGATGCATGCTGATGAAGTGAGTTTCGTCTCACCAACAGATGATGCTTAAGAGAACTCTAGCAGGAGCTTATGGCATTTGTGTAGCTGTTACAGCTACAGGAAGGCATCTGGAGTCATACGGTGACTCCAGTTTTTGAGTTCTCCCAGGAAATATGTAAAGGAACTAAGATATGCAGCAGATGAGTCACAAAAAGCTCATTTCTGCAACATAATTTTATCAATTAACATTTTCTACCACTGTACCCCTCCCACCACCCTGCAAAGGGGTGAAATGAACCCAGCTACACTCATGCTACACTGCATCGTGTGCATACAGGGAGTGCCAAATATTGAGGGAATTTAGAAACTGTTTCCACTGTATGAAAATGCTGTGCTGGGTGCATTGAGCTAAGGCAGGACTGGAGGATCCCATGGCTCTGCAGCACTCAGACCTCTCTTTGGAGCCTGTGAAGTTCAGCTTGCTCCTGCCACACTGAAGAAGGGACCATAGATAACAAGCTCCACAGTTCAGAGATGTGTGGTTTATAAATTCATATGAGCTGGAAGGTTGATGATGAAGAGAAGGTTGGTGTGCACAGCACTTTGGTCAAAATGCAGGTGGAGAGGAGGAGAATGCAACATATGCCAAACAGTACATTGTTTAGTTCCCCAAATTTCCTTGTAACCATCACACACAGAAGGCTTAGGTAAAATAGCACCAAAATATATTTCTTGCCGTATAAGAGACATAGTATACCACATGAGATAGTTGCGTATAAGTGAACTTGCAACGCAGAGTGTCATGTCTCAACAGAGTTTCAGAAAGCATCACCAGGACCACGGGAGTCACACCAGCACTCCAAATTTTGGGCCTTGGCTCTCTGACAGAGCTATTTTACCTGTGAAGCAGGCAAAGCCTCCCAGACCTGAAGCCTCAGTACCTGAAGTACTGTGGGAATTTTGAATTTGGTGAGGCTTTTGAGAGGGACTCCTAGTATTTGAGTACTTTCCTGTCTCTCCCCAAGTCCTCTTTACACTGCCATAGAAGGAAATTAGGTTGCTTTGGTGTAATCTGTTCTTTTTACGGTGTTTTCTTCTCCCCATCTTGGCACTTTGAAATGCTATGCAAGTAGACAAAAGTATAGGCTTATTATACAGATAATGGCTTCCACAGATTATCACGCAAATCTTCCATGCTTGCTGTTTTTCAGCTAACATTTTCCACTTTTCTTTTGTAATCTGTGCAAGCAGTAATGTTGCCCCTGCCACTTCTGTACAGTTGGCTCCGTATGAGCTTGAAGCATCCGTAAAGGTGAAGGCTGCAGGCACCCCAGCAGGATGCAGCAGTCACCAGGACTTTGTTTGTCCATCAAGCTGGTTGTGCCTGTGTTGATCTTCTTGGACAGAGCATCCTGAAGAGCTCTGCGAGGAGAAGAGGCCACAGCAAAGCCCAGGAGGTATGTTTGTAGCTACACTTAAAATGGTCTTGTTGATCATCAATTCATAAGCTGACTTTGGCAGTGAAGACTTTGACTGGAAGGGGGTAATTTACAGTGGGGGCTTGCAGGTGGGAGTCTGCAGGCAGCATGGTGGAAAGGTGAAGGAAATGGAGGAATATTCCAAGCTGTTAATGGGCGCTTTTCTGCAGCGCAGTGCAGTCTTTCCTGCCTCCCTGTCTAACAGGAAACTTCCACCCTCTTTTACAGTGCTGCTCCTTGCCAATGTACACAACTTCTGGCCCTTTAGGGCTGATATTTACGTTTTGCGGTAGTCTGGGGGTAAAGGTTAACCCTCTCTCCACCATGGTAGTTGTATTATTTTAAACTCTCATATGAGCTGTATTATTTTAAACTCTCATATAAGTTGGAATGAGGCTGTTAAACTCTAGATTGCCCCATATTAGAAGAGAGGAAACTCTGTTTACTGGATGGTTGTGTTTGATGGGGTTTTTTAATTATTTTTTTTAAATAATTTACTATATATTATTATTTACATTGTTTTTATCTTGATTTCTGCCTTTATGGTGCATTATGTCCTTGCCAAACATTGATACTCCCATCTCTTGAAGTCAGAGAATTTAAACATTCAGCATATAAGCAATTGGGCTTGAGAATTTCCATGCCCGCCTATCCCTGGACTTTTCCACAAACTTCCTGCTTTAACAGGGCTTCAGATCCTCTGACTGGCAGGACAAAATAGTTTGGGATGTACCAAGGGATTTGCTGAGAGATTTTTGTTTCCAGGCCTCCACCAGAACAGCTTCCATCAAAAGTTATTGTAAAGCAGTTAGGTTTAGTCGGGGATGCAGAGGAACCAGGTTCAATTCTCTCATGTGCTGCTGTCTTCTTGCGTGACGCTGCAGAATTCACCTGCCTCTTTTCCTGTCCAGAGACAGACTTCCTTTACCTCGACATGTCTGTCTGTGGGACATGGATATGCAGGAATTAATGTTAGATATTGTACTGCAGTTGTGGGGATCACTGGTGTACTGAAGGCAACTAGAAAAAAGCATCCAGCATTCTCTAAAGAAGATAGAGTTGGGACTGAGTGGCAGGCAAACAAAACAACTTACTGTCAGCAGAGCAGGTTCTGTTAGGAAACACAGATCTATGTAACCCACGCAATGAGGAGTCATATTAAGCCCTGGGACAAAGTCGTATGTGATAACCATAATTGCCAAATCTTTGCAGAACCTGTATTTCCCATGAATGTGGTGAGAAGCTGCCTTTCCTCTTGCAGAAACACAAAACAGGCTGCGGTAAACTGTAGATTTTTGTTGTTTTTCCTTAGGGCACTGTGTTAATTCTTCAGAGTCTTAAAATTGGCAGGCCTATAATTTAATTAGGCTTGGGTCTAGAAGTAATGACGTATTTTTCCACATGTTTTAATTAGAGGTCCATAAGGCAGCATGTAAGTAATTGTAGTTACTTAGCTCTTTAGTTGCCCATCATTTAGAGGAAATCTAAGTATTACATTAGGCAGGCCAAAGCAAGAGAGTGAGCTGTATGGAATGAGGCTGGTAGTGGGTGCTGCTCTGTTGCAGGGGCATGGGCTGAGGCTCCAGTGTAGGGAAAGTGGGTGGAAAACCAGACAAACTCGATAGGATTAACTGATCTAGCTTTAATGCCAATAAAAATTACTCCTACAGAAGCTGTGTGATCCCTATCAGTAGATAATTTTGCAATGGAACTAACCAGCTATCAGCAGTAAACACTAGCACATGAATAAATTAACTTTCCCAGCTGGCAGCATTGAATAAACGAGTTAAAAGTTTAATTCAGACAGACAAAAACCTCAATCACTTCATTACTTTCCGCCTTCCCCAGCTTCCCTCTGCCTTCCCTAGAGGTCCACAAACTGACTTGATTTGTGTAGAGAGAAAGCCAGAAGAAATTAACTGTGTTTGTCTGCAGAGCTGGTCATGCAAACAACTTGACCAAGTTTGCATTGCTGTGTGAGCAGGTGTGTATTAGGCAAACAGAGATACTTTATCAGGGAGAACTTTTCCCAGGGTGTTTTTGCCTGGAGGAGAGAGAATTGTTCCCATAGCTCCTGCTATCATATGGTAATAGTGTTGGTTGCAAATACACCATGACCTGGTTTCCAAGGAAGGCGTAGACGCTGGTTTTGCCTCCAATGCCTCTGAGGGATGGGAGAGTAACAAGTGAGAGAAAGCACCTGTTTTGCTGCTCTCTTTGATTTTTTTTTGGTAGTTGTTAATGCTGCCGACATGAAAGCACTTACATGCATTGATCCCTCTCTCCATTCTTCTCTTTCATTATTTCCCAGCCTCAGTTCTGCTGGTCCTATTCTCAGGACCCATTCCCTTTTTATTTTTTTAACCTAAGTGATAAGCAAGGAGCCTGGTTTGTGCTGTGTATCAGCAGAAGGGTTTCTCCACAGGGGAGAGAACAACAAAGTAGGGTAGAAGCACTCTTGCTCCTCTGTATCTGCTGTTTTCTCACCTTCCACAGACTTGCATTCAGACTTGTCCTTCTTATCAAACTCTTGCTCTGTGGCAAGCACAAAAGCAGGTTGCTCCACGACAGCATTCATATAGAGTACTATGTATTTCCAGTCCACTGGGAGAGAGCACTGCCTATTCACAGCCTGAATTTTCCAGGAATCCTTCTTCAGATAGCAGCCAGTGTGTCTTGTCACTTCCCACTCCGGTTACTCACTCTCAGGCTGGTTGTGTGGTGTGACAAGCAGGTGTGACCACAGAGAATGAGATGATTCCCACCAGCTGGCCATCTGTGCAGGATACCAGAATCATTTATGACAACTGTAGAGAGTCACAGACCTCTTTGATGGGTAATGCTAAAGTAAGAAGGTAGTATAAATTCAGTAGGGCTACACGTAAGGGAGGTCACAGCTTTTGTATTTCTGTAGGTCAGCGTAGTTAGTGGTTGAGCTTGAGCTTTTGCTATCTACTCAACAGGTCCTTCAGGGAGGGCTGGCAGAGGGCAGATGAGAGGGGCCAGTGGACATTGCCTGGTACATACCTTGTGCTCCTCAGGGAAGCTGCAACGTTTGCTGTTGCTCTTGCAGCCAGGGTACAAGCTTAGGCAGGTATCCCTGCCCGCATGCCCTGCTGCTGAGCCTGTTGCTTTCAGTGCTGCCCGGTGTGCCTTCCCGTCTTCATGGGTCAGATCAGCCTGCTCTGAGCAGAGATCCCTGCTGCCTCTCTGGATAAAACTCAACCTTCAAAGCGGGATTGTCATACTTATGCCTGCAGGAAGACTTCTGATGCATCTCGGCTCCACCGGGATCTGGTTTTCCTGTGATGGACCAGGCTGGTTCATGACAGCTCCCCACCATTCAGGCAGCATGTGGGGAGCTCGCAGGCTCTGTAGATCCACCTGGCAGCTTCTGCCTTTAATCATTCGATTGCTTGTGTTTAGTGGAGCACAAACTACATCAGAAGAGACACAAAGGAAAGGGGATGAAGTACTGGGAGTTGCAAAATTCTTTGTAGTCTCAAAGTGGTTGACAAGCTGTTTATAAATCATTGTGATCTGAAAACCAACTGGGAACACCTTCGCAGTGCATAGAAAAGGTTGAAAGAAGACCACAGATTTTGATTAAGCCAATGGCACGTTTACCTCTTTTTGGACCAGTTACAGCAAACTCTTACTTGGGTACTTTTTAGTTACAGATGGTCTCTATTTAAAAGTGTCTTGTCTGAGCCTTCACTATTTTTCATGGTTGAGTTTACCCTATGGGAACTTTTGCTAAGTGGCGAGAAGGAAAAAAAGAGTAGATGTTAAAATGTAAATACCCATAGGTCTTTGACTTTAGAGTTACAGAAAAATTACCTTGAGTAATGCAGCTATTATTTTAGAAGACAGCTTTTTGGAAATTGCTTTATTCCCAAGAAGGCTGTTTCCAGTAGCCATAGATTAGTCATTTGAGAAATAAGAACAGAGACTTCTGGAGGGGTTGAGGCTGATTCTTCAGTACCAGGGGGATCCACTATCTACTTTGCCCCAAGGCAGTCAGCTCTCATGATAGACAAGTTGTACTGCTGGTAACAGCGATGCAAGAGGTTGTTGACTATGTGGACTGCAGGTAAGTCTTGCTGTGCAGAGCAAGAGGAGTGTGAGAGTTGGTAGTTTGGTTTGCTGAGGGTGAAGGTAGCTGCATATTCCTGACATTGGCATCACTACATTGCACAGACTGAGAGCTGCTGTTAGTCCAGGTACATGGGGTTTATGCAAACAGCAGAAATAAATGTGTGAGGAGCAGCAGTAAAGCCCTGGGCTCTTCAGGAACCAGGGCTCTCCATATGTAATTCATTAGGGTCTTAGTAAAGTGGAAACATGCCTTCAGAGCGGCAGCATGAGCCCAAAGCCTGCCAATTTCTCTGCACTGCTGAAGGAAACCTGTCTGTTTCTCTGGGTTGCTCAAATCCTTCCTTAACCCTTTATAAAGGGGTGTCCTCAAAGAGAGCTGAAGCCGCTGTAACCCTGGTAGATATGAGCTGCTGGAGGTCAGCCAGAGCAAGAGTTTGTTTCTCTCAGTGGGTTCAGGCTTGGGCTGACCAGAGCAGCTTCCAGGCTGGCTTTTCTCCCCTGCTCCTGTGCACCTCTCTGGGGTGGAGGAGTTGCTTGGTGCTGCTGGCAGAGGATCAGGGCCAGGTGCAGTGCCGCTACCCACCGAAAGCTTCACATCACCAAGGCTGCATCACTGCAAGTGGAGCTGGCAGAGCTCACGGTGCTGGGATTTTGTCCTGGCTCCTGTTTGTTGGGGCAGTGACTTCCCGGGGGATGCTTCATCCAGCCCATCTTGCACCCTGTGCTCTGGGACGAACTGATGGCCCTTTGCAGTTCCTTATGTCTTTCCACCAGCTGTGGAGAGGCCTCAGATATTTAGTCCGCCAAACTAAGTGAAATGCAGATTTCTCCAATCGAAATCTTCACAGTCCAGCTGTGACTTAGACTTTGATGTGACAAAT